TGAGTTGAATTACTGAAATAAATGAACTTTTCCACGACATTCTAATTTATTGAGATGCACCTGTATATCTTGCTTGTCTATAAATCAAATGTGATAAATGGCCAGTGATAATAACAAAAAAGGCAGCAGTACAATCACTACAGTGTCTTACTACAAATATGAATTAGGAACACATCTGGCGAACCCTCCTTTCGTCTGCAGCTGAACAACTGCTACGGTTCATTCAATTATAAAACAGGCACTGCGAGATTGTTAAACCTTGCCTGAGATGTGCACCTGAGTCGAGGGAGGTGAGAAAACACCTTATTTTACGGTTCACTTGATTCCGCCTGCACTAGCTGTCTGCATTTTCTCTAATCTTTTAACAGTCCAAAACCACAAGGCCGCCCACATTCTTACTGCAGCTTAGAAGCTCTTCCATTCTAGCCCACTTCAGCTACCAAAATCAGGTAAAGAATAGAAGTGGAGAAGAGGGAAAAAAAATCATCAAAGGAATTGATAATAAATATATAATTGTGTGGTCAAAGAGTGTGTTTTCTCTCTGTGTGAGACCTCCCGAATGCTGCACAGAGTAGAACGCGCTGCAGGCAATCTTTTGATGGAAGGTCTCATTTTCAGCCTCCCGCCGTGCAATATTCAAGACAGTCTAAAATAATACAGGACTCATTTCGGGACTTAGGACCTCTCGAATATGCTGACAATAACCAACGGCTGGAGCATCAAATGAAAAACAGCTTTTCACAGGGAGGGCTTGAGTGGCACCCGAAACCCGGGGAGCAAAGATCCTGGATCCATGCTTGGAGATGACACATAACGCCACAGCTGTGTTATTACCAGGCTGTCGCGATGCAGAGATTCACAAACGGAGCAGTCTAGCTTGCGCTAAACGCTGCGAGTAGTCTGTGTTCATTAGGCGTAGTGAGTTTACAATGGCCTGATCATGAAGCACAATTTTGGCAACGGTTGTGTTGAGTGACAAAAAGCATTTAAACCAAATCTATCATAACATCATCAGCATACTTGCCAAATTGATCAATCGCACACTTAAATTAATTCCATTTTGCTTTTGATATGAATTAATGCTGAACAAACCAGATGTTGCGTGTCCAACATTAGCCAGTTGGCAAACCGCTGCCTGATGACTCTGGAATATTTTTGGTTATAGCGTTAAATGTTGGCAGGCGACTAATAACATTATGCATTTAATAAAATGGAATTTCAATATGCAAAATGCAATTATTATTGACAAACATAATTTTCAGGTGAAAACGAGACAATTCGAACCATGCAATCCCAAAATAAGAGTGAGAAAAATAGAAAGGAGGAGTGCTACATCTTATGTTATGCTGGACAACTTTAGTGTGAGATTTTTAGAACTTAACAATCCTTTCATCCTCTCATCTTGGATAATCAAGCTTGGCCACATACTCTCCTTTTGGGTGAGGAAAGAAAGCAATTTGCCTGTTCTTCCTTCACACATCCTGAAGCCTGCCAATCTCCGGCCCTCCTCTGTTGCACTTAGAGCTTCAAACACGTCGCTGAGCCTTTTTAAACAGACTGTTATCCCTTTAAAGGCAAATCTTTTCAGAGTCATGTTAGATAAAGGACACTGATCTAATACAAAGCAAGCCCAGCGAAACCAGACCACAGGCGCTCTGATGCCCAAAAATGCCTAAAATGTTATTTAGTGGCGACTATGAAGAGGAGACATCACTAAATTATAAAATGTAATGTTAAATATCAATCAATCAATAAAATCTTACAGGTTTAAAAAAATATATTTGGCCCAAGTCTAAATAATCAAGCAATAATAACCGAAACTATATGCATATTGGCCCAACATTTGCTAAAATTCCCAAATCAATAGCTAAAATGTCATACAAGGCTTTTATTTTAGTGAGCAGGTACACACACCACAATGCTATTCAACATATGGCTTGAAACCATTAAATCTGTGCGGTCTCATCCTGTATGGCGAGGTGTCAGAGAGAGGTGATATCAGGCGGACGTGTTGCGACAGGCTGCTTCAAAGAGCAGGAGGCCACTCTCTCTTTTCTCTCACTTTCTCTCCATTACTCCTAAAACACCCGGCCACCCAGCTGCACACAATTACAACCCCAGCAAGCATTCAAGCAAACCCCCACCCTAACACAGGGCCAGTAATCAGTTAGATCTCAGCATGTATGTTCAATGATCTGTTATTAATTAATCAATCAAAGCTAATCAAGGTAAACCTCACTCTTCAAGCAGGTCAGAACAGACACTGTTCTACTCCAGAAGACTTTTCCTCTTGCCCTTCTTAAAAACAATCCGATTTACAGTATATAAGAAAATATCCAAGTTTTAGGGGTTTTCAAAACATGTATGTAAATGTTTTACGTTATACTCAGTAGGCTAGTTTTGCATTGAGTGGCCAAATTGGCAATTCACAAGAGACGTTTTAAGCATCCTACACCAGTAGCCTCGATTTACAGCTGATTTTACTGCCAAAATGAGCAGTAAAAATAAAAACACAGCACTTCATAAGGTATCGCATTTATCCACCTCGACTGTGTAAAATAAATCCTACACAATTGAGCAGAAACAATAAAATGCAGGCCTTTCCATCTCATTAGTGTACACATTTGTGAAAGTGGCCATATGTGCCTAAATATGTCTCTAAAACTACACCTTTTTTCTTAAATGTACAGTAAAAACACGCAACTATGATTGCCAGAATGTTACCATAAAAAGTGCAATGATAATTTTACAAGCATTATAAGACGGCATTTTGGAGACTGTGTATTTTACATCATATATACAACTTAAGATTTTTAAACTCAAAGTAAGTATTCAGTTTATGTAAACTGTACTGATAATAAAATTGATGGCACGATTGAAACCCCCCCAAAAAAAATCGAATTAATCAAAATTGGATAATACACGACACTAAAACACGCACAACACTAAAATAATGCAGTAAACATCTAAGCAACCCATTGTAGCATGTATCATAAAACACTCCAATATAGATAGAATAATAACAACATAAGAAAAAATTACTTTAAATAAAATCCAAATAAATGTGATGGCTCACACAGGGAATTATGTTAATACCTCTTTTAACCATACATTATATAGCAAAATATAACACCATATAACAGGCTTTTACATTACTTTCTCATTACAATTACTAGCATTTTTGCATATAATAAGCTGCCTACTTAGGCAACATTTTAACTAGCATGTGAGGCCCAAAAATGGGTAGGCTGCCTGGACACTCACACAGCTCACAGTTTGTAAACATCCAAAGTTCCGTAGCATCAAAACGACTTTTGTTCTGATATCATTTTCGGACAGCATAGAAACAGGTGTTACAAGTGTTTGAACTCACCTGATTTTTCAACTATGTTACTTGCATCGCGTCAGTAAACACCGCGTGGTCCTCGTACGGCGTAAACATCACGCGTAATGACATTTATGAGGTTCATTATAGTTGCTAGACATAGTGACTATTACAAATGCAGACATTTAAACAAGAAACGAAGCGGCCAAAGGACAGGACGTTTCTGTTTGTCCTCCAAGGTCCTCATAAACTATGTAACCGAGTAGAGAGGAATCTGATATATCCACTGAGCGGCGCTATAGCCCATGAAAATGATGTGTGTTAGAGAGCGCGCGAGGGAAAGATCCAAGGTGACAGGAGAGCGAGGCACTTCACTGCTGCTGCCACGGATAGAGAACTGCATCTGCCACCCCATGAAATTCAGGTAGGAACACTGTGAACATTTTAAGTTAAAATATAAGCTGTCATTTCACACCATTGACATTTTCAGTGGCATGTGATTTTAATAAAGTGTTTGCTTTTTCCCCTTTTATATTAAATACATAATATATAATTAAATACATTAAAATAATATATATATATATATATATATGTGTGTGTGTG